GAGCTTATGACATGCCTCTTCAGGCTGTGTCTCCACTTACTCTGGAGTTGTATTCACATTTGTTGTTAAGCTACTTGAAGGGACATTTTTAAAAAGCTTCACAATAGATACATCAAAGTGGTATATTGGCAGAAAGCTGGGTGAGGGAGTGCCTGGGGTCAGACTGCTAACTTCACCACCTCTCTATTCAGCCTGAGCCCCTGCTTCATCCAGTGACCAAATGGGCTGACTATCCCTTTTGAAAGTGAGTTTGAAATGGAAACAGAAGATATACAGTCTCCATTTTTGGACTATGATGTGGTAGAAGCAGTTTCCCCCAGTGTTGAATCAAAAAGGAGGAGTTTATCTGCCATGATTTCCAGAGCGAAACCAACAATAATGATAATGATGACACCTTGAGCATCTTAAGGTTAAATATTGATCATTTATACACATTCATTTAATTTAAAACATTTGAATGTTCATTCTAAAAACACATGAAAAATCTAGGTGTCTCTTGTTGTTATATTAGGTTTTAGTATCTGTTTTGCTTCATATTTCACTAATTTTTTTCACCAAATATATATTGAGCACCTATTGATGGCATATTCACTCTTCAAGCCAATGGGGATACACAATCAATAAGAAACTGAGGCTTCTTATGGAGCTTGCATTCTAGTGAGGTATGGAGACAGGCAATAAAATAAAAAAAGCCGTGATACTGACAGGATGATACATGTAATAAAGTAAAACAAGGGAGGGGAATGCAGGGAGTATTGAAGATGCTGCAATTTAGTGTAGCCAGAGAAAGCCTGGCATTTGCTTAAAGATCTGGAAGACAGAGGAACAAGCCTTGCAGGCGTCTGGTGGAAGACTGTTTCCAGCAGAGAGAACAGGAAACACAGAGACCCTGAGGAGGGTGCGAAGGCAATAGTGTAGCCGGAGGGAGTCCTGAGAACAAGGGGCGGGATCAGCAGAACACTGGGTCAGACGTGGAACGGGAACCAGTGACCTGATGGGCCATTGCAGGGACTTGGGCTTTTTTTCAACCGAAGTGGGAAAGTATTACAGGAGTCTCATCAGAGGAGAAACATGATCCAATTCATGCTAGCAAGAGCGGTCTGGCTGCTGTGTTGCACACGATGGGAAGAGGCAGCGGGTAGAAACAAGGGGACTCGTCAGGAGGCTGTTAAGAAACACATTGTAGCTGGGTCCAAGGTGGTGACAGTGGAGGTGGTGAGAAGTGGTAAAATAGAGTGTATGAAAGACAGAGCGAGAGGGAGGGAAAGAGAGTTGAAGGATTGCTATAAGGTGTTTGGTCTGAGCAACTTAGAAGGAGGAATTACCATTAATTGGGATGTAAAGAACTATGAAAAGAACTTTGGAAGATTACTTTTTCCATTTTTGACATGTTTGATTAGGAAATGAGCCTGGAGTTAAAGAAGATCTGGGTTGCATCACTTAAATTTTTGAATTTATCAGCCTATAGAGTTATATTAAGCCATGGAACAGATGACATCACTAAACACATTTAGATATATGCTCTTTAACATTTTTAGAGGCCAAATCCAGAAGATAAAGAAGAAAAAGCAAAAGAAAACTTGATGGAGGGCCCAGAGAGAGAAGGTTAAACTAAGAGACTAGTATCCTGGAATCCAAACTTTGAGAAGGCAGTGATCACCTGTGTCCTGAAGTCAAGCCAGAGAAGCACCTTTGGATTTCGGAATCTAGAGATTGCTTTTGACCTTGATATGAGCAGTTTCAGTGGAGTTGAGGGGTGAGAGCTTGACTAGAGTGGCTTCATTGAAGAATGGTAGGAGAGAGATTGGAAACTGCTGTGTAGACAGCTCTTTCAAATTTTTACTTTAGAGGGGAGGCAAAAAATGGGGTGTGACCTGTGGTAAGTGGTTCTCGAAAAGAAATCATTGGTTTGTTCAATGGGAGTACATTTAGTATTTTCATAGACTGATCTTCCTGTGTCTATCTAGGGATTAGATGCTTAAATACAGAGTTCTTGTGGGGAAAGGAGCTTTGACTGAAAGTAAAGATTGTGTGAACAGATCCTTTTGGATTATGGGGTCTCCTGGAAATGCCAGCATTGCAGTAGGTGGCATGAGGACACTGGCATCACAGAAGGAGACTGGAGGGCAGACCCAAAGGAGAGAGAAGGCAGCAGAGGAGGAAGCATCCAATCCAACATTGCCTGCTTGCATTTTGTGTCGGGTGTAGGTAACTGCAGCCCCTGAGGTGTCAGTGAAAGTTCTTCCACATGCCATACAAATTTACACTAAGTGAAACCTTTACACAAAAGCTTTTTAAATAGAATTCCCTATTTAATGTTCAACACATCTTTATGAAAAAGATAACTTAGATTGGGTTTAAAGGCAAGGAGAGAAAGCCATTTCCGTGCACTAGATTCTTTGGAAACCAGCGTGCCTTCTGTTGAGGGGCTAGAACAGTGGTTTATGTTAATTAAGGAGTTTCTGTAACACTGTCTTCTGGGCATCTGCTACCCAGGAACATAGGTGTGTTCAGGTGGCTGAAGTAATCCAGTTAACAAGGACCTGCAATATATGATGTAAATAAATTATCAGTGTGTTGAAACGAGCGTAAGTCTGTGTATACTGTAGATGTTGAGATGAAGACTGGATGTAGAGAGTCTCTCTGTTCAGCAGGCAACCCTGGGGCCATGACAGATCAGGAACTGGCCCTCTTCTTCCCAGGAGCAGAGACTTTTTCATCCATTCACCATAACTAGGCACTAATTGGGAAACAATCTAAGCAATTTATTTCAATCAAAGAGCTTATGAGATTTGGGGAACATCAGATCTTGCTATTATCATCTTCAAGAAAAGTCCTGTATTGCCCCTGTCACCAAAAAGTGGAGTTCACATTCTTTAGGGCGTAACACCCTCATGGACAAATTACAGACATTCTTCAGTGTAGCCTCTTTTTTTACAGTTTTATTTTTGGAAAACAGCTACAGTATAGGAAAATAATTTCTCTGGATTGAAAATCAAAAATGCTAGATTCTACTACCAGCTACCAATTAGTCAGTGACCTTGGGAAACAAAAATCTTGAAGCCACTCTGCTCTATTTGATAAATAGATGTAATATTGTTACTACTTAGACTATATGCTTGTATGGTTAAATGTATGGAAAACAGTAAAGTGTCTTAAGAAAAGTTATTTGTCTTATGAGTTATCAATTTAAGCTTTTATATTATACTTCTAGTTGATGTTCTGTTTTTTCTCATCTTTTCAATATTTAAGGCACATGGGTGAGTTAAGGATATCATATGAAAGAAGAATAAGATATAACTCTTAGCTCACATTAAACTGTTCATAGTACCAATACAATATGCTACTGCCTAGTTGATTGGTATGTTGAATGTTAAAAGGAATATTACTAATGTGTGTTAGAATTCATGAATACACAAAATTGAAGTTATTATGTAACAGAAATAGTGATGAAAATCACACATCCACCACATTAAAAAATTGTTTTTATTTTCCTTTTCAGGATTTAAAGTGTTAAACTCTTTATTCGGGCTGGATGATGAGAAAGATAGATTTCTACTGATTATTTTTATACTAGAATAATCTTTCATTATTAATCTATTAAAGTCTTATCTCAAATGAGTTCATCAGTGCTACCAGTTAAAAATAGAAAACGCATGTGCTCAATTTCAAGAATTAAAAATAATGCCTTGGGAGTAGCATTTCTTTTCTGTGGCAAGAGGATTGTTGGATTTTCCAATTAAAGAAGTCTCCATACTGGAAATGTGTAGTCAATTATGAAAATTATTTCTGAATAGCCAATTTGCATATCCCTAATTGTATTCATTTCTTTTGAAAGACCGAACTTGAAATTTATGATGTTTTGTTTGGTTAACCCTGCACTTCTGTTACCAGTACTATTGCCAACAGGGTTCCCCTCTGAATGGGGCTTTGAGTGTCTTTCCTGAATAAATCATTGAATCTTAAGTAGGTTTGTTTTATTTAATGAAGAGAAAATATCTAAAGATGTACTGCCAGTTTTTAAGTTTACACACATTGCACTTTTGGGAATGATGATAGCATCCTGGAGCTGCCTCCTGTACTAACATTTAGACTTTTCTACATCAGCTGATCAGAAACCCTTGAAGTTTCTGAATGTTGGTGCTGTCCGTTGGCCAAAAGGGCAGTTTCAGCAGAGCTGTCCTCATTGTCTATACAGTAATGTCTGTGTGATTACTTGAATTTTTAAGGATATCTTGCCCTTTTTAAAATAAAAAAATGATTTGGAAATGAACAATGAAGAGTTTTTATATTAATGATAAAAAGCATCATTTTCATGTAAAATAAAATTGATGTGAATAATTAGATTAAAATTACTGATGTTGAATCTCATTGGACTTAGCCCTCCATTGTACTTAAACCAGTCAACACAGAGTCAATCATAAAGGAAAAGAACAAAATTAAAGACATGTACAAAAATGGGATATCTATTTCTACAAGATAAGCACAAATTGCATATAAGTATACATACAACTTATGCATAGATCGTATCCACAGGGACAGATACAATTGGGAATCTTGTCATGTGTTTTAGGTCTCTGAGACTGGAATGTCCCCCTATACTATTTATTATTCAGCTTTTGCATATTCAGCTTTCAATTTTGGAAGCACTCTTAAATAAAGAGATAATGAAGTTATTGTAGGCATATTAGGAAAGGTAGGGTAGTGGGAAGGGAAAGCAGCCATTTCATTCCTTTAAGAGAGTGAGTTAAAATTGGTTTCCTGTTTCAGGAACAGTCAAAATAAACAAATGAATAAACCAGTGTTCATTATTTCCTGACCATGGTGCTTGTAGACATAATATTATTGAAAAATTAAGAGTTGTGGTACAGTAACATTAACGTTTTAAGATTGATGAGGCAATTTTCTTTGAAACCAAATAAAGATCACATTCAGCTAGGTAGTGTCCATGTGGTATACGTGTCCTACAAAGTAATTAGTGTTGTTGGATTTGTTTGTAGCTGATTGCTGTGTTTGAAGAACAAGAACCACTCCACAAGATTGAGAGCCCCAGTGGAAACCCTGCAGATCGGCAGAGCCCAGATGCTTTTGAGACAGAAGTGGCTGCTCAACTGGCTGCATTTAAACCAATTGGTGGGGAGATTGAAGTAACCCCTTCTGCTCTGAAACTAGGTATGTGTATTTTTAGTGGTATTCTTTTCACTTGATTGAAGATTCATCATCATGTTGACTAGGTGTTCTTTCTTCTTTATGACTTTTATCCTGTTAATTTTTTTATATCATGGTTTACCTTTTCTTTAAATTATTTTTGTGCATAGCTCTTTGTAGCCACTGCTGCTTAGGTAAGTGGATGCAGCTTTTTCTTGAACCAGAGGTGAATCAGAGTTGTATGCCCTTGAAATAACATGAGGAAGTCAGATGGAAAATGATGAAGTTTGCCTGTATCATATGCCCATAACTTTTTTTAAAAAGTTCCTGAAAAAAGTCATTTGGGAAAAGTCAAGGTTTATCAAAGAATCTGGACTAGAAATAAAGGTCACTTTATTGTCGTCACCTCTCTCTTTTTCTCCCCAGACTATAATCTCAGAGTTTGGGGAAAATGTTTGGAAGTTAGTTTTGAAATTCTTTTCTGATGATTTATTCAAAAAAGAACAATTCATCTAGTAATTTTGCTTAGAATTATTTTTCATTATGTTTGTAGAATGAGAAAGTAAATATTATTCTAAAATTTCAATCAGTGTACAACTCCAAGAGAAATAACATGTTTGTTTTGGTGATACCTCCTAAAGATAAATTTAGCTCAATTTAACAGCATGAAGTTTTTGAAAATCCACTAATATCTTGGTATTTCAAACAACTTTTTATGCCTGTGGAATGTTTGTACAGCATTTTGAGACTACTTAAAGCACCTGTTATGAGGGAATTCTCAAGCTAGAAGAACAGAGGCTTATTCCACTTTGCAAAGGGCAGCTTCTTATTAATTTTAAAGCAAAACATATGCTTAAAATGGTGAGCATTGTATTAGTACTCATTTTCCCATTTGAAATAAAATATATACTGTAAAGTTAAATTTACATACTCTAATGCTGACAATCCATATTTCGTACTGATTTTCGGAAAAGAGTCTGTAGTGCCCCTTTTAAGAAAAACCAAATGGAAATTAATGGCCTATGGTCTTCATGGGTTTTCCTTTATCTTTGGGAACCAAGCTAGTGAAGCAGTCTGCTGGAACGTGGACATTGGAGGGCTTTGTGGCAGCTTCTCTTCATCTGGAGCCAGCCTTGTGGCTTCAGCAACCTTACAGACCCGTCATTCATTTGCATAATGGATGCCTTTTTATCCATTATGCAAATGGTATGAGAGGAAAATTAGGCAATAAGGGAAGACGAAATGAGAAAATTACTCTTGCTTGTTTTAATATTCTGTTTATAAGCAAGCACCATGGTCTTCAAATGGCTGAACCTCAGAGTATCCCTGTGCCAGAGAATTTGCTCTTACTTTTACAAGCTTTCTCAGGAAAAAAGTTTGTTTTCTTCAGCTTATTTGTTAGACTATTGGAACAAGAACATAATGTTGAATGCAAGGGAAAAAAGTCAGCTAAGATTCCCCTTCTTTGAAAGTGTACTTTCTACTTCTTCCATAATGATTTTTGATAAGTCAGAGAAAATAGTATATATTAAATGAAAAGTACACACCAGGCACTGAGCTCAAGGCAGTGCACTAAGTCGTCTAAATCCCTTACTCATAAGAACTCATTTAAGCCTCATCATACTTAATTCGTTGACCTTTATTATTTTTATCTTTTAAGAGAGGAGGGATAGGCACAGAGAAGTTTAGTAATTCATCAAAAATCGCATAGCTATTAGGTGGCCGAGCCAGAATTTGAACTCTTGCTGGCTGCAGTGTGAGGAACCACGTTGCTGTGCTGCCTCTGATATGCAATTCATAAAACAACCAATTAATATAACTGTATTTGGTGTTTACTCTCAAAACATATACCAAAACCCTGAAAATACTGAACTCTTTGGCCTACAATCTCATTTTACTTAGTACCAGATTAAATGATGAGACTAGCTCAGTTTTAGGTGGGAAACATTGCCATCCAACCATTTGGCCTGAAACCTTGGCGTCACCTCCAGTTCACCGTTTCCTTCTACCTCCCTAACACTGTCAACTCTTCAGTTTCCTTGTCTACAGCCACCATAGCAGGCCAGAGCTTTGCCATCAACTAGACTGTTGCAGCGGCCTCAGACTGACCTCTTTCTTTACCCTGTCTGCTTTCTTCAGTCCCTGCTGTTGCTAGAGCTGCCTTTCTAAATCACAAATCTGATTATGTAATATAACTCCCCTGCTTAATGACCTTCACTGGCTTCGCATCACCCTGAGAACCATATCCAAACTCGTTAGCAAGCTGATGCAGATGATTCCTCTGAATTAGCAGGAGAAATTTGGGCAAGGATAAATGATGTTAAAATATTACCCTTTACCTACCTTCATGATTCTAGCAGTTTGAGTACTTGGCATTTCGCATTTCTGGAACTTAAAAAGCAAAGAAAATACATATTTATCAGGTTTTTCAGATAGAGAAGTTAAGGAAGTAACACAGCAAGCTTTGGTCTCTGCCCATTCTGTTTTCCTGTCGTGGGCTCTGGGGCAGGATGTGGCCACAGGCTGCCCACCTCAGGTTGGAGAGATGTGGTTGTCAGTAGAGGCAGTATCTGTGGCTCTTCTGGGAGTGCGACCTGGCTGTGCTGTCTGGTCCACCCTGAGAGCCTGCTTAGGTGAAGGATGGGAAGGGGCAGCGAGAGGAGTTGCAGCACCTGTGTTCCAGCACTTCCTCCTGTCAGGGTGTTTGTGAAATGCCAGCCATTGAACCCTGGCCCTTCATCTCCCTTCCCCATTCAGCTCCTGTAGTCCATTGGAACTAGTTCTACTTTTCATGACTCTTTCACCCAACCTGGTACAACAGAAGTACAGCTTAATTTTTACTGGTTTTCTCATTCTTAAGGCCATTTTCTTAAGAAAATAGCGAATTTAATCTTTATCGGCTCACATTGCTTTTCTTAATTAAGCAGACACAATTCAACAAATGTTAGGAATCAAGACATTTTTGTGATTACATCATGTTGAGCACCCAAAATTTATGTTTTTCTGGTATTTGATATCAAAATATACTCATTGTTCAGTACAATTTTTATATTTCTTTTTCCAACACACGATAACCATCCACAATATTCTATTAAAAACCACCAACCACCTTCTCCATATAATACATACAGACATTGATCCCTCCCATTCCTTCTTTATCTTCCAGTATATAATACTTATGCATGTATAATATTCATATCCCCAGGCACTCTATGTTCTAGCTGCTTCCTCTCTGTCCACCTTTATTGCTGGCCACTCTTTCACAGTCACCTTAGCCTGCAGCCACTGTGAACCACTTGCCATTCCAAACTTACTGTCTTCCAATGTCTGTGCCTTTGCGAGTACTGTTCTCTTTATGTGGCTCACTCCTTTGTCTCTTTTCTACCTAATGAACGCATATGTTCCTTTTAAGTTCAAGTTCAAATATGACCTTGTTCGTGAAGCCTTGTCCAAATCTTTAAAATGGTCCAGTAAGTATATAATAAGTATTATTTCTTAATTCTTCATCCAACAATCAAGAGTTAAAAAGATGAACAGCAGAAATCTTCCTACATAAAGGGGCCCATAATCTCATGCCCTATAATCTAACAGGGTATATGTTTTTAATTTATAAGTTGAGTTTTAAATCAAGTGGGCAATCACATAATTCCAATCTCATTCATCTAAATTATTTCCTATCATTTATTTTCTAATGGATTTTCTAATGTAATTCTGAATGACTGAGCCCTGACTCAGCCCTAACTGGCAAATCACTTTCACATTAAGATTCTATGGTTCTGAAATAGGCGAAAGCATTTCACTGTGTAGTATAGAGATTGGTAGCCTGAGAGTTCACTTAAATGATGAGACGTGGTAACCAAAATACCAGGTGAAATTGCAAAGAATATATTTCCAAAATCTATTTGGACTTGAAAATCACCTAGTCCAAGAATTTTCCAAGTTTTCCCTGTGAAACCCCATGGTTCTTCTGAGCATCTATCAGGGTTTCAATGGATGCTTGATTCTAGTTAATACATAACATTTATTGAGCATTTAAATTCTAGATGCTATTTAAATTTGTTCATTCTCTATCTCTGGACATATAGGATTGATTATGCTACTATGCAAGAAAGGGTGCAGAATTCTATAAGGTAGGCAATAAATGGAATCCCAATGCTTATCTACCCCAAAAACCTACCTCCACTCAAAAGATGTGTGCATGTCTCATAACACGTTTTGTTAAATGCTAATCTAGAAATAAACAGTTCCACAGAATTTCACAATTAGCAATTGTCTAGGTAATCAATATTATTTTACAAATGAGCAAATAAAAGCTTAGAGTCAATTGTGTACTCTGATGTCGAATAAAGAACTGGAATTGGAACCCACATCTCTTGGCTTCCAGAACAGTGCTTGTTCAGTTACAGGACTTTTTAAAAATTCATTGTAGACTTCAATTATCCTTATATTTTAAGTGATATATGTGATAAAATAGCACCTCATATCCTTTTGGAATTGAGATAGAGTGTAAATTAATAAGTAGATACTATGAATAGCTATACATCAAAAGCTACTGAGAGAACAAAGACCAGAAAGTGGATATGGAGAAAATGTCTTTTAAATCCTATAAGTTTCAGAAATTAGTTTGCTTCTGCCTTCTCATCCCGTGTGTGTGTGTGTGTGTGTGTGTGTGTGTGTGTGTGTGTAGGAAAGTTCCACCAAAACCAATACACTAATGGGATCCATACGTGTGGATTTTTTTAAAAATAATGTGGATATTTTAATACGCTTTTTGATATTTTAAGTATCTAAATATAAGGCTGCTTTCATGATTAGTATCTGACCACCTCCTGTGTCCTAAAAGGCATTTTGTGGCCATACCCTAAGGTTGGCCCAACCCAGTCTTTGTCCCTTGAGAGTCAATGATATGGAGCTAGTTCTAGACCCTGCAGTATTTGATCTAGCTGTGTGGTCAGGACACGCCATTTAACCTACCTCGATCAGAACCAAATTTTTCCAAACAAAAAATAAATCAGGCCACGTTT